CTGTTTGATTTCTTTTCGGAAAATTATGTTACTTATGATTTCTTTATCTATATATATATAGATGGAAAAAGTGGGTCATAAGACAACTCGATGGGATTTAACAGCTATGCTCAAATGTCCATCAACAGTGAGATCGCTGTATTTTTTGTCTTTTTGAATTTTATAACATTTTTGTTTCGCTTAGGGCAATGGATACATCTATACATCAAAAAACAGTTAAATATTTTCTTCATATATTGAACTTTTTCGTTTTCAATAAATAAATACCTCACGAAAAAAATTAACAGTTATTCTACGTTGTCTAATTGATCATGAGATGATTGATCATAATTAAATAGAATCTGATATGACTAATATACTTTTTTCTATAGAGTTTTATTGATTGCATCGATATGACTTTAATGTAATAATCTCTTAGGTGGGTGTGTTAGTTTGCAAGTTTTGCCTTTTCAGGACAAATAGTATAATAAAAACCTACGCAATTGTTTGATTATGATACACGGGAAAATCGAACATCTGTAAAGCGTCAAATCATCATTGACGAATATTAGAGAATGAAAGAAAAAAATATTTTTACATGCTTTTTCGGCAGATTCAATAGTACTTTTTAACAATTGAGTAAAAATGATTATTTCGATTTTGTATGTTAGTCAATTCATTACAAAAACAATTGAATAAATCAAGACAAAAAAAAAACAGAAAAAGAATGCAGTTCGAAAACATGTTGTATCACTGACAGATAATGATTGATATATTTTAGAGCTACAGATGCAATATAAATTTTACTTTTACTATAAATCTGAAATGATTTTCAATAGGTCCTTGATTGACAATTAACAAAGATTGTCCTATTTTAGTTATTTTCGAATCAAACACATATCGATTTTAGTGGGTTTCTAATTCGGCTCTAATTCAAATCTTTCAATCGAGATCAATGAGAATAACAGCTTAAGTTGAGAGTGTAAATAATACTCGTCTCTAGGAAGATGACTATTTACAACAACAAAAAACATCAATATATTCCAGACATATGAGAGAGAGGAGAACTCGACAAACCGTAACTAACTATCAAATTCTGTTGTACAATAAACACTTATACATTTATTCTTCAACATAAGGCATAGGCCGAATCTGAAAAAAAATATTAAGTTGAAACAAATCAATCAAGGACAAGTTTCAGAGATATCCGTTCATCATCAGAAGTGATAAAATACACATTTATGAAACTTCTAGTATAAATAGTGAATCAATATACCAGTGACTTCCAAATTATTTCACTAAAAAAAAATTGTCTCATAACTGGAGTCGATTGGTGTTCTGTGACTCAGACGCATCAACACTATCAGACTACACCAAAAACGACTGAATTCTGTCATTTTTAACAGATTTCAAGAATATTCATACGTGATGATACAATACATCATGATAAAAAACCTTCAAAAATAAGCCGGTGTTAGTTTCTCCACAGCTATCACATGGGAATGTATAGAAAAGCAAGATGATACATAATCATGAATAAAAAAGTAATTCTATAATACAACTACCAAATAACCTTGTGTTGAGCATCAGTGTTCGACATGAGGTCGCAACTATCAACTCGAGTTTGACCCGACTCGGGTCAATTCACGTTGATTGTTGCGACCTCATGTCGAACACTGTTGAGCATAACCAAAAAATAAGTATGCCTTAATCCTATAATCAATAAATACATAATAATTGTCTCAGGTATAAATGTATATCATCATAATGATACTTATCTTAATCTCAAGCCTTTGTATTGCTTTAAAGTAATTAAGTACATAATAGAGGTCAAAAATTCCAGGGTTATTATAGCAATAAAATTTATATATTTTATTTTTATTTCTTTTCTTAACGACACTCCCCGCCCCACCTCCTACTCTTTTTCAGCTGAGCTTAAGATATGATAGCATGAATTTCATGCGGAACGAACCACAGCATTTATATAGTGCTTCGCGCATTTTTTGCTGTAATTAACTAAATCTGTACTTTATGTTGCAATGTTCTACAGAGCGATAAGTTGCTAAGAATTCTTTAGAACTATATCAAGGAGATAGATGTCTTGAGATGATCCAAACAATTTTAAATCCTCAATATGAGTTTTTGTTCTTCTTCAGTAAGTTCTGCAAAAAACTGATTTTGACGGTTTGATCTTCATCTTTTACCCGAGATCATTAGAATTGGTGAACTATATAGTCTGCAGTCAGCTGTTATGAGCAGGGGAAATAATGGAAACCTTCTACCAGACAGTAGCGACTCTTGGTGAAATCGTTTATCGTTCTTATAGTAATTGGAATTCCAATGAGAAAACATTGAGATCTTTCCTCACCGCCTTTATAAGGTCTTTTGCGAATTTTCTTCTTTTACGACCTACGCATCCAAAGTCCATAGTTTGTGACTCGATGATCTCGAGAACAACACGTCGTCTGATGCTCATTGAAACATCATTAGACACATTAAAATCCGTATATGGTACAACTTTTGTGCAATTTTCTGTTTCATGTTTCGTTCGTTCAAAGTCAAATCCGGATATTATAATAATCTATGGATTATATTTCCATCATGACGATTTTATATAGCGAGACTTGGTGCTAATCTGAGGCTTCAAGATAATTAAAATGAAGACAACAGCAAAAGTTAGCCGCTACTCTATTAACTCATGAATCAGACAGCTGTGAATAGGCTGATTACGAATAATGAATCATGTAGATAATTAAACGGTCATCTGAAATAGCCCTTCAGAAAAGTGTTCATAGGCTTTCATAGAGTTCTCGTGATGATGAATTTTATTATGATACTTTTCAATTTTGACACGACTTATATCAGTTGGTTCGTGAAAAAGTAATTAGTGGAATTCAAATGATGCAGAGAAGTGTCTATGTTCAGTCGTTTGTACACAACTCAAATAGAAATGATAATTACTATTAACTCGACAATTGAATTTTCGTTTTCAACAAAATAGCGTTTTTTTCGAAAATCCGAGAGATTCATGCTTTGCACTGCATTTCGTATTCGAGTCGAAACTCGAATACCATCTAGTTTAGCTTTGTTTCAGATACTGTGCCATCCGTCGAAAAGTCAGTAAAACTGCTATAGCTTCAGATCAGCAAGCCATAGGCACGTACACTTCAAGAATTTTCTTATTTTCCTGAAACCTATCTATAGCCAAATTATAAAGCCGAAAGCTTCGATTTGGTTGTGGTAGTTCTCTCGTTAGTTGTGACATTATTTAAGATATTAATAAATATTTACTGGATTTTTAATTTAAAATCTCACTAATATATTTTCATTTTATTTTTATCCGAAAGGTCAAAAAATAATAAAACTGATATTGTCCTGAAGAAACTGTAAATCATTTTACAGATTTCATGACTCATTCATATCTATTTGTAATATAGAATCAGACTATTTAATCAGTTTCTGACATAACCATTCATTTACACCAATGAGTCAATTTAATAAAATTCGAATCGGTTTCGATATTACTAGAAAAGAACAAGTCAAGAAATGTATCTCCAAGATTAGGAAAAAATACAAAATAGAATCAGTACTGGCTTTCATTATATATTCCATTATTTCAGCAATCATTTTGATTTATAAATGATACAAATAAAGAAATAAAACTTTTCAATCCATAATCTTATTATACAATGAAAAATCTTTACGTTAATTCTATTCGACTCATTGTTCATTTAATTAAGTTATGAACGTTTTTCTTCATTTCAATAACTTGTTGAAGACGAATCGTAATGAACAAAGTCGCAACGAAGAACAATGATTCAAAATTAAACAATAAAAATCGTTACTTAATATACAAATACTGGATACAAATCAACATTTGAGCAATGATTTCGATTCTATATTGAACAAATCAGTGTATATTTTTAATACCTGATCGTTTTGAAGTCATCATTATAAATTCAAAAAATAAAGGTATACATATATATTATATAAGCATTCAAAAGCATCTTGTATTTTACAAAGTATAATATTACTTCGAAATAATATTTTATTTTCATCTTTCAAATCTTTACTCATCATCACCAAGATAACAAAGGATTCAAATGAAATATTGTGTCTATAATGTTATCATTAATAAATTTCTAACCATGAAATTCTTTATAAAACTGTTACCATGTTTTCTTTATTATAACACAGCCTTCTCTATGACTTACAGCATCGTTTTACCACTCCCGATCATCATCAATGTGTCTTATTATTATTTTTTTTTGTTCTTAGTATTTATCTCATAGACGATTTATAATGAAACTTCGTTGAAAGTTGACTATGTCATATATCACTATACACAAATGGAATACTACGACAACTAGTCAGTCCAGTGTCGGTATGAGTTTTAGATCCATCGGCCAAGGTTAATCCGGCCTACCCAGATCTATACTATTACCGGTAGTGGTGAAAAAATTTCTTCTAATTTCTGTTATTTTCAATTCTATAGCAATGCTTTTCGTTATCAAATAATCTTGGTTATCGGATAGATATCACTAGAATTGACATGAAAATTCAAAATCAAAAAAGTATCATTTAAATACGAAATATTATTACTCAGTACTAACAATTAGTAATGTTTTTTCCAAATGTAATTAATTCTTTTATTACTTTTCTTAAACTATTAAAATAGATTGTCAATAATTTAGATAAATCTAGGATATTAATCAATTTCAATGTGATTAATAAACTTATTTTTTTCGTAATAATCCAATGAAATGATCAAAACAATCGATGGCTCTCGTCTACTGTATTCCTGAGAAAAAGATGCACCTGGATCAATACATAATAAAAAGCGCTACTTGATAAAAGAATCTCGTGATATTTGAAAAAAAAACCTTTTTCTCGATTACAATAGGAATATCATGTGTACTATCAAAATCGTTTGCTCAATAGCTATTTTTCTATTATCATTGAGCAATATTTATTGTGACAAAGATGCAGACATCAAAGTTCTTCAACAAGTAATCGATCGTATGAGTGATGCAGAAAAACAAAAACTTTTTCAATCACTTTTTGAAAATTCAAATCAAGGTCGACAAGATAATTCAAATTGGTGTTGTAATATTGATCCTGGTAATAGATTCTCTTCGAATATTTTAATATTATACTCTTCATTTTCTTTTCAGGTGTTGAAGCTTCGGCAAGAACTCGTCAAACAACTTATTATGTTCAACGACATGCACGTAACAAATGTGGTTATAGTGATTGTGGTCTATTTGGTTGGGGTAGTTGTACACGTTGGTGTGATACATATTGGTCAGAAATGCAGCATGGTGTTGAAACATATACTGTTTATCAAGCTCGTTTATGTCCATCAACAAATCTTGTTTGTTGTGCTGGTTATATTACTGTTGTCAATCATTGCTTTACCTATCAAGAAGTTATGAATAATAAAGATGTTTTAGAAATGCTTGTTTCTATGGGTATTCCTATTAATCCAACAATGGGTTAAATAAAATAAAAAAAAACAAAACTAAAATATAAAATAATAAAAATAAACTAACGACATCTATCATAAATATCTTTCTATTTGTTCATTTTGCTTACCAGTATACTAATAGAACAAAGCGCTTTCTTTTTTCTTTTTTTTTTTTTTTTTTTCTCTTCTTCTTACTTTCTTTGCCCTTGAATTGTGCAGATCTAATATGGCAACTAGAACATCAACACGATCAACTAAAGCTGTAAAATTTGTTGATTCAGCTGATGATGATGAGGGAGAATTTAATAATTCAGGTACAATAAGAATAAAAAATGAACCAAAAAAAACTAAAACTCGTAGTCGTACACGTCGAAATCAAACAAATGATGATGAAGATTGGGATGCTAGAAATGAACAAAGTGAAGAAGATGGTGATGAAGAAGAAGATGATGATGATGATAGTATCAATCATGAAGATGTTACAAAAAAATTTAAAACTAATACTGTTAATCGTTCAATAGATTCCGTTTATGATTTTGGGTAAGATTAAATTTTTTGCTGAAATTAATAATCTATTTCTAATAAAGAGAAATGAGTGGTACAACAAGAAAATGGACGAAAACGACAACACCACAACGTAATAGTGTTGTTAGTGATACAGGAAAATCCATGGAAAAATTAATGTGTTCATATTGGTAAGATAAAAAAAACCATGAAATTAAATAAAAAAAATGAAAAATTCTATTTTAGTAATTATACAACAGGAAAAAAGTATCTTCTTCAACGACATTTAAAATCTCATTCAACTGAACGACCACATAAATGTAAAAAAAAATTTTTTACATTAAATCAATAGATCATTTTATTTTTTTTGTTTAGGTGCTTATTGTGATCGATCATTTAAAACAACTATACAATTAACTAATCATGTTAATACACATTTAGGTGTTAAACCATTTCAAGTAAAATTTAGATAATATCTATTTTTATAAAAACAAAAGTTTTTATGTTTTTTTTTTTTTAGTGTAAATTTTGTTCATTTTCATTTACAACAAGTGGAGAACTTATCCGACATGTTCGATATAAGTAAATATTCATTAAATTTTTTGACTTTGAATGTCTTTTTGTTTTACAGACATACACTTGAAAAACCACATCGATGTGCAGAATGTGGTTATGCAACTGTTGAATTAAGTAAATTAAGACGACATATTCGTACACATACAGGAGTATGTATTTTTTTTTTGTTGAAAAAGTTAAAGTTTATTTTCTGTATATAGGAAAAACCTTATGCATGTCCACATTGTTCATATTGTAGTCCGGATACATTTAAACTTAAACGACATTTACGTGTACATACCGGTATAAGAAAATAAAAAATATTTAATAATTATTGATGATTTTATTTTCTAGGTGAACGTCCGTATCAATGTACAATTTGTAATTTTCGATTTACTCAAAGCAATAGGTAAGATTATTTATTTGTTTAAACATATGAATTTTGTTATTTATACAGTGAGGACTCAAAAAAAAGCATATACATTTTTGTTTTTACGCATAAACGAATAATAAGGATAATTCTGAAAATTTTCTCTCATATCGAACTTTGTAGAGCGTTTTTCGCTGATCATTTTGGTAAAAAAAAAACGATGTTATAGTCAAAATACTAATAAACACTGTAATATAAAGTAGGGGGGAAAAGTTTAGCACACTTTTAGTATTTGGCTAATTTTTACGTTATTTCACAATATCTGATTAGATGTTCTATATATCATTCGATGCAGAATTTAATGGACTACATTTTGGTAACAAGCACTTATAGTTAATTAATAAAATTTTGATTTTTTTTTGTAAATTCCAACTCTTTCATATGAAAGAGCATAAAAAAACTGAACAAAACTCTTTAATTACTATTTGGAAAGCAACGAATTTAGTGTGATTTTCAGAGTATGTTCAGTTGTAATTAGATATAGTATGTATTACAGTGTTTAGTATTTTGACTATAACATCGTCATTACTCCATGAAAATCAAAAAAATTCTTTTACCAAAATGATCAGCAAAAAAAGCTCTACAAAGTCCGATGTGAGAGAAAATTTTCAGAATATCCTTATTATTCGTTTATGTGTAAAAACAAAAATGTATATGCTTTTTTGAGCCCTCACTATATATATCTTATCTTGGATCATCTTTGATATACTAAAATTATGAAGATTTACTATTCTCTGATGTAAATTCAATGCTGTATGTATTATATTTTCGATAGTTGAATGAAGAAAATGAAACTAATCTTAGTTTGATGATAGTATATCTATTCGATCGAGAGAACAATTGATTCGAAACTGTCAATACATACTATGATTTTAGTACTCTTGATGTTAAATCATTGCTTTGTTTAAGTGTATAATATTATCAATAGTTTGAGTCAACTTAATTCGTTTATAATTATTCGAATTTTATATAACTTATCATATTGATTATATTTAATGAGTAATGTTCTCCAAATGAACTATGAATACTTTGAAAAGAGTTCGTACCGTTCGTTGATTGCTATAGAGTATCTTTTTTTTTAAAGTGAATTTCGTGATCTAGAAAAAAATTGAACTTGACTTGAAACTATGCATAGAGACAGATTTTTCGATCTTAAAATATCAGTATAAAATCTATCAATTTATATGAACAATGTAAAAGATTCATTACTTTTTTCTTTGTCAAGTATCAACTCTACAGTTTTTTTTTTTTTTTGAAAAGTTGTTTAAGAAGATCATGACATTCATAAGTGCAATATTTTCCAAGCAATAAAGTCATAACATGAACTCTTTTTTCAAAGTATTCATATTTCATTTGAATCTACATAATGTGCATAATTTTGATTTATTAGTTAAAAGAATTTCTCCATTAATAAATTCAACGAAAAATAGTTCTTTCTTTATAAAAATCTAATTCAAATAATTATTTAATATCTTAATTTATTTTAGTTTAAAAGCTCATATGTTAACTCATCAAGCTGAAAAACCATCATTTCCTTGTTCTTATTGTCCATCAGTTATGGCTCGAAAATCTGATCTTCGTTATCATATTGGTAAACAACATGCTCGTCAATCTGAACCATTAGCATGTAATAAATGTGATGAAGATTTTCCCGATAAGTATGTTCATATCTGAAATTTTTTTTTTTAATATTTTTTCTCATTTAAGATATTCATTACGTATGCATGGTAAAACTCATAAAGGTCAAACAATACATTCATGTACAAATTGTGAATTTTCTGCAAATACAAGTCAACAATTAGATGATCATATGAATAAACATCGTGGTACACGTCCATTTCAATGTAGTGAATGTGGTTTAATGTTTGCAGCACGTGCTGATTTACGTGCACATGTTACACGTACACATAGAAATTCTTTAACATCAACACCAACAATAGCAACAGCAACAACAACAACAACAACAACAACATCAACAATAAATAATCGTCGTCCACAACGACGTGCTGCATCATTACAACATCGTTATATAGGTGTATCATCAGGTGCTGAAGATGATGAACAACAAGAAGATGATTTTCGTTGTCCAATATGTCATCGACAATTTACATCAGCACGTTTACTTGATAGACATACATATGCTGTACATGAACCAAAACAAGATTCATATGATGATAGAGATTATCAAACAAATGATATTGAAGATGATGATGATATACATGATTATGCTGATGATGAACTTGAAGAAAAACCTAAAATAAATATAAATTATAAAAATGATATACATATAAATTTATTAAAAATTGAAGAAGGTATAACAGATGATGAACAATTAATAAATGAAGAAGAACAAGATTTAGCACCAAATGTTGAAGATATAATTGAAACTGGTGATGATGATAATAATAATGAACAAATACAAACAATTAAATCAATATCATCAGCTAGTAAAAAACAAATTGGTATAATAAGAAAATTTGATGAAATTGATGATGATGATGATGATAATAATAATCATCATTTATCAAATAAAAGAAAATGTAATATAATTCGAGGTATATATTTTAAAATATATTGAAATAATATTTCTGTTTTTTTTTTTTTTTTGTTTAAAGCTACATTCAAATCTAATGATGATGAAAAACCTGATTTTGATGTATTCGGTTTTGATGGATAATTATTTTTGTTTGTATTCAACAAAAATCAAAAAAATTATTCTTGTACTTATTAGATATTTCTTCTCATTGTATTTGTTTATTTGTGCGTGTAGAAAACTTATTTTGGTTGTTTTCTCTTTTTTTTGTTTTGTTTGTTCGTTGTTCTTGAGAGATATTACACCAGAAAAAAAAAAACAAAAGAATATATTGTATCCGAATAAGTTTCTTTTTCTTTTTGTATGTATATATTATATATTGATTGTATTAGACTGAATACATATCAAGAAAAAAAAAAAAAAATGAAAAATCTATCGTTTGTATTGTTGATTAATAATTTTAAAATTTTATTAAACACGATATTGATCTAATTGATGGATAATTCGAAAAAAAAAAAAGAGAAATTTTTATTATCTTTAAAGAATATAAAAAACTTTATTTTCAATAGGATAAGCAATAAATAATTAGTTTTAAGATACTTTTATAATGCATAACAAGATAAATATTTTCTTTTTTATAGAGTTCTTATTGATCTTTAAAATTAATTGAGAATATATGTCGCATGTTTATAATTAGAAAATTAAAAATTGATTTTATCAAGCAAAAAACTTTTCTGAAAACATTGTGAAATAGTGTCCTTGAAAAAAAACAAATTAATATGTTGTATTTGTTATGAGTACTTCTTTTTTTTTTAGTAACTACATAACATTAATTTCATAGCATAAATTTTCTAGACTGAAGAATTCATGTCAGACAAAATAGCTTTCATTGACATTTATATCAAGATTTATGACATTTAATAGGATTTTCTTTATGCTATTAAAAGAAACTAATGTTTATTGCAAAAGAAATCTAATTTTGTTATTATATACATTTCGATATATATTAATACGATTGATGTTTTTTTTTTGTCGAATAAAATATTTATTAACTTAATTCTGTTTATTACAGATTAATTAATAACTGATTTGCATGATAATCAAATTCAATCTTTATTCTTGTATTCATCATCATCATCAATTCTTTTAATTCTACAAGGTTAGCAAAAAAACTATCGTAAGAGAGATTCTCTCTGTTTTTTTTAAATTTTATTTTCAAGATGATTATTCATCGATATCATCGTTCATTGTTTAAATTTCTTATGTTTTTTGGTTTACCATATAGTGCTACAATGACAACAAAATCAAATCATAATAATTATCAATTATTGGAAAAAGTAGTTGGTTATGAAAATCGTAAAAATGATATTCTACTTTTTTCGAATTCAATTCAATCGTCATCAAATACTATTGTTTATTATTTTGGTGGAGACATACAAGTAATACGAAAGAACTTATCATCGAGAATAATGCATGAATATATTATTTGTTGTTGCAGACATAAGAAGTTGTTGTTTTTGTTATTCTGCTAAATATGACCTTGTAGAATAAGGACACAGGAGAAAATCATTTTATAGAATAGAATGTCAGAAGTATATAATTAGCTTCACTTAACTTCAATCGAAAATAAAAGTGTCGAACATTGAAGTGGAAACTTTGAATAAGTTGTTGTTGAGAAAATGAAAAAAAAAACTAATAAATAAGTTTGCATTGAGTTTTTATTATTGAAAAAAAAAACTAAGTAACAAAAGTTTTTATGTCATAGTTTATCAATGTTCCTATTGAATAATCATAATTTTTTTTTCTGCAACAATTAGATACAAACCATGGAGAAAATCAGATAATTATTTTATCAATTAGAAAAAGTGTTTATTCGATTTTGTAATACTGTTCATGATGTTTTTTCTCATTTTCTATGTACCATAAGTGTATAGATATGAGTATTGCTCTTTAACGAGACTAGTTTCCTTAAAAAAACGTTCACAGGTTCTGTAAAAAGTCTCATTAAGATATGAGACTTCCAAGATATAGACACTTTCCCATATAATAATATATATAAGAGGAAATTTTTTAAGGAAGTTAGCTTAGTTGTGTTTTGACATGCGCAAAATTTCAGGTCAAAGTATAAAAACATAAGTTATCCGAAAACCCCAGAACTTCTAGAGAATAGATAGCCAAATCTTTTTGTATATATAGTACTGGTCAAAATAATAAGAACAAAGTAATTTTGATTCTTTTTTTTCTGATACGTATGCATTATATATTAATGTACCATAGTTGGAGTATATTTGAAAAGTCTTCTAAAACATTTCACATGGTACAAGACGTTATAAGAGTTCGTTTTCAACAGTAGTATCTAAATGAGCACAAGATGAAGGGTCGTCGCGATTTTCATGACTTTTTCTTATAAAGTTATGGGCATCACAAAAAAATGCAATTTTTTTTAGCACCGTTTTCATCTTTTTTGACGCTTGTAACTTTGTAAGGGAACATCGAAAAAGGCAGCAACCTACAGTTGTACTTAGAATTTTGTGCTGTTTTAGACGATATTGTTGAATATCTGAATGGCTATTTGGATTTGCCAAAAGTAGTTCAATATCTTGTAAGTTTAATTTTTGTTCCCATCTACTGTGACAACATATTGTATAATCGATTTCTTCTTTCCTCTTATAAAATTTTGAAAGCTACTAGAATCAGAAAAAAACACTATATATTTCGAATATGGGACTGATTGACGTTCTTGTCACGATTCTTTTTTTTACGAACTTTTTCTGAATCTTAGAAGTATAATAAGTGTTCGACTGTTTGCCATGCAAGATTAAACAATTGAAGTACTTTTGAATGAAATCCAATTCATAGGAAAAAAAAAAGATCAAATTATGTTATTGTTGCTCATATATCAAAATTCTGAGATAATATTTGAAAATTTGATTAGCACGCGAGATATTCTATTCCATTTGACCTAGAACTCTTTTATGATACTACAATTTTTGATGAACTGTTGATCATAAAATTTGATTCATTACGATCAACTAATTATTGAATATATCAACGTCAATAAACTTCTGATTGATGATACAAAGAAAAAAAAAATTGGTTCAAGGCATCATGCAAGGTTTTCGACGTAATTTGTGTCACGCAAGATTATAACATGTGTAGGACTTCATAATTAAAGTCAAAGTCAATATGTTATGCAAAGATTCACTTCTTATCTCATGTACTACTAAAACTACTGGAAACTAATTCTAAATTGTATTTTATAAAAGTTATTTTGTACAGAGAACATTAGATTATGAATCACGGATGATCGGAATGATTTTCGACAAGATGCTTGTTCATTTTGAATCCAATAAAAATCATTTTCGATGAGTCAAAAGTTATGAGATTGTGCTCTTTTCAAAAGCTTACATGTTTTTGTTCATCATATAAGTCCCTTTTCGAACATTCTAAAAAACATTGGAGTGAGTCATTTAGGATAGCGGTCAATTCTTTACAAAATATGATTTTAAACTAAGCTGTTTACCTTTATTGATTTGTTAAAAATGAGTATTTAGAAAAGAATGGAAAATGAGATGTTTTGTGAGAAGACAAAAAATAGTGCATTTTATGAAGTAATTGCTGATTGACAAGTTGATATATGAATATAAAATTCTAACTTGTAATTTCGAATCACAATAATGAAAATACAAAAATTTTTTGTTCAAAATAAATTTTTGACTTTTTTTTAAAGATTATTTCGCTGCTCGCAGGCAAAATTTTCCAAGTTTATTTTTGAAAAGAGCACGCAATTGATAATTGTTGACTCGTAGGAAATACCTTTTAGCGAGTGAAAACTAAATAAACATTTTTGTCTAAAAACTTCTCAATTGCCCGTTATAAATTATAAAATAGACTATTAGTTTTATTGAACCTTGATTCTCGATTATATATTGTGTAGTATCCTGCGACTACATTTTTTCCTGTATTTTCCCGATCCCGTTTTCCGCAAGAATCGAGAACGGAAACAAAAATATTCTTTTACGCAAACGGGAATGAACGTCAAAAAAGTTATTCTCGCAAGATACTAATAATATAGCGGTATGTAAGCAATGTTCTTTGAACTTATAATTTCAACTATTTTTAATGAATTTTGAAAACCTTTGATCTTGGTAATAATAATAGTAGTACAGAGCAAAAATTTATTCATTTTCTCATTTCATTTAGTACAGTAATACTAGGTATTCATCATCGTTATAATTAGGTTTTTTTCTTCTTTGCTCATTTTTCTTTCAAGACAGTAAAATAATGCCGCAATGTATGCGTAAACATATATATAGTAGGCATCAGAGTTTTTCAATTGCCGTAAGCGTTACAAAAAATCAAAATATTGAGTCGAATAGAGAAAATGCATTTCAAAAAGAATATCAGGAAATAAAATTTATTATCAGATTCGTTAAGATACAGACTTCATAAAAACAAAACATTAATTTTTCCGCATATAGAATGCGTAAATATAATTTTGTTTAGACTACATAGAATAAAAGAGGAAATAATTTTCTACAAAATAAAACATATTCGAATTCAATGTAGCGTCTTTTAGTGGAGATATAACAATTTGACTGAAGATCAAAAAATGACTTTTCAATAGAAAATAATAACAAAGAAGACTTTAGAGATTTTCGTAAAGTTATTGTACTTCAATCAAAAATACTTGCTGAGAACTTGGAGAATTTTCATTTTATAGAAAATTGTTTGCTCTATTATTCATGTAGTCTAAACAAAAACTATATTTACACATTCTAAATGCTAAAAAAGTAGGATTTTCGCTTTCCGGAGTTCTTCTCTATGAGAATCTAATAATCATTTTTATTTCCTTATATTCATGCTAGAAAGAATTAGTTCTATTGGAAATATTATTTGAACTATTTATAATGTTTACGGCAGCAGAAAAAGAATGGTAATAACCGTTGTTGAATAATTTTGGTTCGCACACAATATGAACATTATAAACAAATAATTAATAGAAATAGATAATTCGAATAGGATCAGTTTATTTATCTCATAGACATGTTGAAGAATTAATTTTCTCATGACATTTAACTAATATCCTTTTATATTTTACTAGGAATTCCGTAAACAGGAAAAATAATTTCATTTCGAATGGGTTCATCAAATTTACTTCCTGAAGAATTCTATAGTAATGCTCATTTATAGAAACACTTATATAAAAGATAGAATAGATTAATTCATTGAATTGAGGATTTTTATATAATTTGATTTTTAAAATAATTTCTTTGTATTATTCCCGTTATTATTGAGGAAATATATGTTAAAATTCTTTTCGAAACAAGAAGAAAATTGTTTATTCATATTAAGAAAGCTTATAGAAAAGTGTAAGTTTTTTTTCGATTATTTATTCTATATTAAGGATTTACCAGAACGTATGAATTCATCGAAAGAAAATCGTAAATATCAACGTTGGAATTTAGTGTCAACTGGTGAGATTCTTTGTCGTCGATTCTTAGATTCTTCAATTGCTATTATACGACCTAATGAAATGATAGATGGAACTTTTTCAAGGTTTGATCAATCAATTTATCTTTATTTTTATTTTTATTTTTTGTTTATCTTTTTATTTGAGAAGATTTTCGAATTTTGTACCTAAAACAACTGATTATGGTGATCCGATTTCATATGACACAAACAATCTAATTGGTCTTCATCATTTACGTGCACTTGATGAACAAATTATGAAACAAACCACGTCAGTAATTTAAGTTTTTTTCTTGTTTGTTAATTTGTTTTGATGTAAATTTTTAGATCGTTGTCGGATATAATTATTGTTGGTTTTAGCAAAGGTTGTGTCGTACTCAATCAACTTCTTCATGAATTAGCTGCTTTACGCTCAATGAAAGCGGATGTTGACCTTTCCAAGTTTGTATTACGTATTCGTACATTTATTTGGCTTGATGGAGGACATAATAATGGAAATCGAATAATGATTTGGCCAACAGATGAAAATCTTGTTTCAACTCTTGTATATTATAAAATAAAAACTGAAATATACGTTACACCATTTCAAATAAATTCACAAAATCCATACAAACAATATCATACTCAACAATATAAAAAATTTTCGGAATTATTACTTGTTCAATCAACAAATTCAACTGAAAATGATCATAAGATAATAAATAAAATGTTTTTTGCTGATGAACCACCTTCAATAGATAAACATTTTGAATTGTTAACTGTATTTTAAGTTGATGAATAATATATATATTGGTTTTTTTTAAACTTTTAATACATGTCTCTCGATAGATTCATTATTATTTAGTACTTGATCTTTGTTGTTTTCATGTTTGACAAACAATTTATTGCTAAGATTATTAATGAAGATATATAATCTTGTCAGAATGATGGATTTATATATTTATCATGATAGTAGAAAATAAAAGCAAATTCATACGTCATTTTTTTGTTTGTTATTCTTATTCATTTTAGAAAATTATAAATTTTAAGATAATTTCAATCAAAAATTCTAGCTTACATACTTCACAAGACTAAATCAGTTACTCTCCTTGGAGAATATATGAATAATTAAATGTCAACATGTAATTTTAAAATAACAGATATTTCTATTTTTTTTTATCAAGTTAATTAAAATAGATCTCATATTACATATTAATTAAATGTAGTCATATTTAATGAAGAAATACTATAATATAATGTTACCATTCATGATTATACAACGAGAATATTGCAAACAATGTCCAAAATGACATATTTTGTCGTAGAGAGACAATTAAAAGATATCTGTCATGTGTCTATTTGAAAACATGCAAAAGACTAAATACTACAGTAAACATATTTTGTGTCATAGTAAATCCAAAGGAAAAAAAATTTTTTTTGTCAATCCCAAGAGACTTCTTTGTCTTTCTTTCTTTTTGTGATAAATTTTTATATTCAATAATAAACACAATGTTCACGTTTATATGTATATATAATTAAATTTGTTCGATTGTTAAACGCTTATTTTTTTTAAGTAATGTATATAACTTAAAAGCATATCGTATTATGAATAACTAAAATTACAAAAAGAAAAATTTTCTTTTAAATTCAATATAAAAATCATTCATTATTATTTACTTGTAAAATTAACCCTAGTGAACATATTGTAACAAATATTATAGCAACAATTATTCCAGCTGCAACAAATCCCACCTGCTTTGCCGTTTGAATGATTCGGATCAACAGCATTATGATAACTATGCTTGTTACAAGAAATACTATTAGTCCAAGCAATGCAAACTAAATATAGAGATAATAATATCTAAGACAGATAATTGAAGTACTAGATGACACTTACAACAAGTAAACCTGTTTGATAATAACGATGTGTTACTAATAATCCAAAACCATAATAAATTACAGAGACGATAACTAAAGCTAATTGTGAACTACTATTTGGTGATTGACTTTCTAATGATTCACTAGCTGCATATGAATGAATTACAAAAAGAAAATTGATCAAACTAAATACCTAAATATGTGAATGATTTCATATGAAAATATAAGTTTTTAATTGTACGACTTACTAAATCGATTCCAATGAAGAAAAATAAAAGTTTGCGAACTTGATTTAATTCAGGATTTTGTGATAATGATGGAGGCTCAATTGGTATGCTTGTACCACGAATCATAGCTGCATTATCAGCCAATTCTTTATTGTACATTTCCATGTCAATGTATTTTGGTTTCTCTACTATGTGCACGACGTATTTCCTATTCTTACGCTTCCGAGTGAGAGAAAAAAAAGAGAAACAGCTTGTTTTTCTCTCGACATTATAGAAGAATAGCGGAAGAAAAAGAAAATAGAAGCAGAAGAACTCAATAATTGTAAAGAGAAAATGGAGAATGTGATAGTTGGTTATGATATATATATATATAGAGAGAGAGAGAGAAAAGAAAAAGAATTAGGTCAATAAATCTAGAGAAAATGCATTCACATTAGAATTGATATATAATCATTTATATAAAATTGATTTTAGATTCTTTTGTTCTAAAATGAAAAAAAAAACTCCGATTCAATTCAATTTTTCTATCATTCTTACATTTGATAATATTATTTACACATCTATTTCTAATATAAAAAATAGATACTAGGAACCCATTTTATGCCAAGATTAATTCGATAAGTATTAGCATGATGTGCCTATATACCCAACATGACAAAATGAAGATAGAGTATCTTTTTTTTCCAATAACCAATAGTATCAAAGCAAAATAAGTAAATGTAGAACATTCCGAAAAATTTGCATGATGGCTAACAGCATAGTGATAGGTTACAAAAGTTTTATTTTGTTTTAAATAACTCTAAGGTTATAAAGTAAAAAAGATATATTGCTTTTGTCAATTACTATTATTAAAGTGTTTTTTTTATTAATTGGCATACGGTTTACATTTGTTGAATATTTTTAAAACTATCAAATTATAGACATTTAATCATAATAAGTAGAGAAAATATTATTGAATGAAATATGTTCTTTTTTTTTTTTCTTTTGTAGAGACATTTTATTAACAACTATAGTTTAGAGGTTTAGTCAGAAAATATAAATGATATTGTATCTTATTTTAAAAATAAAAGCAAAATCTGATGTTTATCTTTTTGCTGAGAAAATAGAAGGTTTTATATTTTAACTAATGATATTAACTTTATTTGTTGATGAAATGTTTCAACAATAAAATCTGTTAGCGTGATCTCTATGAAATTAAAATATAAAACACAATGTAGTTGCTATTCGCTAATTACCGAGAGATTATTTTATTCTATCTATTTTGGGACACATTTCCTGACCATTCTTTTACTTAATTCTCTAGATAGACAATAAGAAAAGAGTTCTTATATGATAACGAGACGTGATTTATATACAATCTCTGATTGCAAATCAACAACAACAATCGCGGTCAGTGATTCAGTGAGAAATGAAGCATTCCTAAGATACTTATCATATTCTATAATGTGTCGTTGTTAAGATGTCCAGAATGAGCCGTTTCTAATGCGCATTTGACAGTATGTCCTGATCTGCGGGACTGTTGCAAATTTTTACTGTAAATATTTCAACACTTAGATCGTGTTTCACATAAATGATTTATTTAGTAACTTTTTTCTTTACTTTTTATTATTCAATATATTTTTCTAATAATAAGAAGTATAAATAATGGACATTCAAAGTTTTTTATTATATAGATCTGCATTTCTAATATTAAAAAAATATGACTAGTATATCATCACTGTATATTATGACAAACTATTTATTCTTAAACAAGTATACCTGGCCGCATCTATACTCTATCTCAACAATCTATTGTGTTTTCTCAAGTTCATTCATAGAGACAATCGATAGATGTTGCAGACAATGTCTACGAATAATATATCATATCTTTGTATATTCTAATATGGACCTTCATAAAAAAATGTGTACTCTTTACATTGAAAGAAAGGTATGAGAAGAGTCTAGAAGAGTGCCTAAAAAATATCTAAAAACATGAACAAGAATTAATTGCTTGTTATATAACAAATAAAACCATTGTTGATAAACCATATCTGCACTCTATGAAAAAAAAAGCTTGTACTCAATCATTTCGCAGTGGACACAACTTAGCACAGACATAAATAAATTGTTTCGAGGCTTCTCTAACTTCTGTCACAACCTATTAAAATATGTTCATCACTGCTTATTCAATCCATCCATCCGAGTAGAAGACACTCTAATCTCCTACCCATCGTTTTGTTGTCTTCTGCATCTTCTAATTATGATTCTTCACTACATTTTTGAATTTTTTTTTCTTTTTTTCTTCTGCAATATTTACCAGAAAAATTTTCCATTTATTGATAATAATTCACAACTATCTATGTAACCTTCAGTAATAAAATTTGCAAATTTCGATTCCATTTATGTGTCAAATCTTTTTTATATAGTGTTAATGTAGTGCTAATAATAAATTCTAGAATCAGTTGACAATTTTACATTGAATTGTGTAGCTTGGGTCACAACCTTTAATGCGACCTTGATTCTTCCATTTGATTGCACTTGCACTTAACGAGATTAACATAGTATTAATCTCGTTTTTTTTTCTTCATAATTCAATTCTCATTGTAACAGTTCTATTGGACTATTCACATATGTGATGATGTTATCTAAAAAGACTAGTAATAATATTCCGTACTTCCATCTATCTCTATAATAATTCATGCGTTCAAAATGTTGTCAGATATATTATTATTCTATTAATAACCGTTATGGACATCATAATGTTCTTAATCAACTATTACCTTTATATATATATATATTCATAAAAACATATTATAATTTTCACTTTTTCTCATTTCAATTCATCATTATCATTTCGTTCTTGTTTTATGTATGTTGATGAAGTAATCTTATGTGAATATATATGTACTTTGTTTGTTTTTCTTTTATTAATCTAAATGCAAGACATCGTATCTATGCAAAATAACAAACTGTTAGACTTCTATGTAATATTTCTCATCGAACAAATCAAACTAATAAACTTGCATATAATTATCGATTATATATTTATACTTGTACTACTTAATTATGTAATGAATTTTTGTCAAGCAAGAAAAAAAAATCGAAATTTTTCTCAATGATGTAAATCAAATTATAAAGAACACTATAGTTATGCTCTCATCAATAAATTGTCATAAAGAAGCTATAGCACATTCACAATCACTTTAATATATATATATATATCATTTATTTTCTCTGATGCTATTATTATCCAAAAAGAAAATTATTCTTGTAAATTTTTGCATCAAATTAGATTGGGCACTAGAAAGTTTTTTTTTTTGTGCTCGGCTTTCCTAAAAGTCATAATTTGAGTCCAAGTATTCTATTATAATACGTAAATATATTTAGGATTATGTGCACAACTTCAGCCTTAAAAATATGATGAGTGCAAGTATTCTTCCTTCAGATTAGCTACACACTTATTTTTGTTGAACTTTTAAATTTGTACAAAAAGGAAGTTTTATATAATGATTTTACATTGTGAATACAATTTTGATATCAATCATGGAATACAACGTGGAATAGAAATAATTTTCTTCATAGAAATGTACATTCAGCTCATGTTTCCCATCTATGTGTAAACAATCTAATACTTTGCTCGGTCTGCTGTGTACTAAGACGATTCGAGATCATGCCAAAAATAGTAGATAACTAATCTGAAAAAAGTGAGATTATGCAAAGATGCATCAGATTTACAAAGTTAAGTTGTTATACATAATCCTAAATATGTCTACGCATTATAATAGAGTATTTGCGTTCAAAATAGGGCTTTTTTGGAAAGCTGCATAAACAAACTTTCATAGTCTTCCAACTAGATATTCATATAGTAACGAAGTAGAATAAAAGATATTCTATTAGTTAAAATTTCTTTTTTATTGAATATGAATGTTTATAATATTCTGCAAATTTCTCCTCCATAAAATAATAAAAATGATCAAACGAATCATCTATTCTAACTATGTCATTAGCCTTTTCTTCATCGATGTGTAAAAGAAATTTTTTAATATTTGTGGAAGAAAAAAAAAAGGAACACTGGAGGAGATTAGGAAAAGAAATATAACATAACAGAGACGTGCGAAGTCACAGAAAAAAAAAGAAAATTCAGTTTGCTAGTCAATATAATATAAAGATAATATTTTAATTAGTTTGATCATTGTTGACAACTTGTTGTAAATCATTTTGGAATTGTTTTTCAAGTGTTTTCATTGATTGACTAAGTTTCATAAATCGTGTGTCATAATCATCATCTTCTTCTTCCTCTTCTTCTCCATCTCCATATGTAATTTGCCAACTATCACTAGAACCTGAATTTGAATCACTTTCATCATCACAATTACCACTATCAGTTTTTGGTATTATTTCCATTTCTTGTTTGATTTCACCATTTTTAACAATAGATTCCGAATGAGATAATTGTTCATCAATATGAGTTTCGTGTTGATATTCATCAATATATGAAAAATTATCACACTGAAAACAAATAAAATTTCTCATTAAAATAACCTCGAAGTAGATACAGACAAGATGCTATCAGTAGAACCGGAATGAGTTTTTTATGCGGATAGAGACTCGTAGCAAATTATTTTTTGGATCTATAGAGAATCGTGATCAAAGTCTCTTCTGATCAGAACCGATTTTTTTCAAATTAAGATTGGAATCAAATCCTTATTCTGGTTGAGACCGATTTCTTTCAGACAGGATAAGACTGAGACCAAAATTTGTAAGGTCAGGACACGTATATACAGGGCCGTAGGGAAGGGGGTGGCTGAGGGGGCTTTAGCCCCCCTCAGAAGATTCCTGGCTACGGGCCTGCGTATATACATCAATGTTTGCTTTGATTGAGACAGAAGTCGCAATCAGTTTCTTTTAGGCGGAGATCGACTTTCTTAAGATCATAATCGAAAGTAAAATTTTTTCTGATTCACTAGAAAGTGACTGCTCCTGTTTGGTTATAAATTATTGCTTACCTCTGCTAATAATTTCTTTTTTGATAGAAAACTTAATTCATTCAATAAGTCTTCAGCTGGTTTTAATGATAATTCTAAAAGAAAAATTTCATATAAACTAAATAACAAACATGTTTGTTTTTGTTTACCTTTAGAATCATCATTTTTTGATAAAAATTCTCGATAATTATCCAATACTCG